TCTTCTTGCGCTTCTTCCACTTGGCGCGCCGATTCTGGAACCAGACCTGCAGCGGGCGGGGTGGGGAGACAAGAGCCGGCGATGTTAGCCACCCGGCTGGGAGCTTAAGTCCCGGAAGCCTGGCTTCTCACTGTCACTCAGCCCCTGGCTGAACCGGTGCTCCGGGCTCGACAGGCCCCCACGCCCCGAAGAACGCCCCTTGGCCGCCAGCAAGCAGCAAGCCCAAGACTCCGGAGTTCCCAAGTCGAGGTGCCCATTGGCGCGGAACGCACCGAGCAAACAGCACCCACACGTACCACCGTTGTGCAGCGTTCACCACCCCCTGCACTCTGGCATAGTCTGTGCTTTGTACAGATGCACCAGTCTGGAGGCAGGCATGTGTCAAGGCTCGACCCACAGGTGTACAAATGAAGATAAACATGAGTACCCATGTGGCTTAATAGCATGCCTTATAGCACTGATGGGGTATAGAATTTTCAGAAACACTGGAAATTTGGAAATTGATGAAAGGCCACGAATGACATAAACAGTTTCAAAATCGAAAGTCAAAGGAAACCCCCTAGCATCACGGTTGACAGAGCGGAGAGGTTAATACAGTGACCCGTGTGGCAAAGTGAGCCACTGAGCTGAGGTGTTGTTTGGTTGCCACCTCGATTTCTGATTCCTCTCTCAGTGCTTGGGGGGAACTGTTACAATGCTCCTCCCCATCTCACTCCCAAAACACTACGAGGCACCTTTGTCTGTGATTCGGTGTGCTGGAACTTGCTGCCAGAATCCCGAACCCCTGGGCCTTCGATCTGTGCCTTCCAATAACTTACCTCAGATCCCTAATAGCATGTCCTCTAATGCTTGCAGGTTGCACACACACACACACACACACACACACACACACACACACACACACACACCAACACACCTCTTGTGCTATACACTAAAGCAAATTTTCTGACTAATACAAAGGAAAAGAGGTCAACTTTAAAATTCTCACTGGTCGTAATGCAAATTTAAATTTGCTGGGACAAAGAACTGTTTAGTAAAATGTACCTCAGACAAGCCTCCTGGTGTTTCTTTCCTGACTGTGGCCCAGGAATTTCAGAGCCTATGTGCCTACAAATGTGAAATTCACTATCACAGAGCGAAATTCCTCTGAAAAATAATAGACAACCTGTCTGACCTTGATAATTTCCCATCTCCACCCATTTGAATTTTATCTTTAAGAGGAGGGGGCTCTCAATACACTTACTTGGCAGGCTTTCCATTTAAAATCTAGTTAGCTGGATGACTACTGATACTAAATATAAAATGGTGCCGAAAAGAGACCAAATATTGACTAGAACTGTTAGAATTTGACCAACACAACCCACTCTCCATATTTGTGGCCCAAAAAAATGATTTATCTGATAATCTGATCTATGTAGTATTTGCTTTGCAAGCTGAATACTGACTATTTGCCTTCATTCTTGGTAAACCAAGAAGTTATAGCTGCTTAAGCAAGCGTTCCCTGGCTAACTGGTGCCAATAGTTTTGCAGTCTAGAATTCATTCTGAGTCTACCCATGTCTTCCTGACTTACCTACAACTTCACCCACCTCTTTATCTTTCTCTAGTTTGTGCACTGTCTCCCACAATGCTGCTTAACCCAGTATTGGTGATGGATAAGTATGCTGCAGCCCTTAGCTCCTGCTCTTGAGTTGACACAGGGATTAATGAAGCTGCAGGGCCCTTGATGCTGGTGATGGGATCAACGTGGCTGGATTGAGCTGTTAGCAGCCTTTGGCCTCAGGTGGAAGGAAAGTGAGAAGACCTAATATCCCAAAGACCCTTTGAAGCATTCACCCAACACTAGTTTGGGAGTTGGACAAGAGGAAAACCCTAGACTGACCAAACCGGTCTCCCAGCTCATGTGCAGCTTCCCAGAAACGTTTTGAAAGAGAGAGTCAAGACCAATTCCTAACCCTCTCAAGAGCTAGTAAGTCCTAAAGGGTCAGTATGTTTGGAGGTGGCAACTTAAGAGAAGAAGTGAAGAAAGAAGTGAAAGAAAGTGAAAACCGTGTCAAACTGCCCAGCAGAATTCCAAGAGCAAACATTGCTGCCGGGAAAAAAAGCGTCTGAACCCAGTGCCTGCTCAGGCAGATAAGGAAAAGGACCACTGCTAAAGGACTGAATATTAGAGGAATAATGGAAAAATCATGCTCAATTATGTTTGAGGGTTAGTAGTCAAATGATGGCTACAAATTTTTTTATGTTTCATGGTTTACTGAGATTCAAGGGGGGAAATCTGCATGAACGCTGAGCATCTCCATTCCAAGCTATGATGCATATGTTTTTAAAGTGTGAATGTTTCCACTTGAAAACTAGAGCATGACAGGTTAAAATGCAGACAAAACCTAAGGGAGATTTTCAGAATGCACAGATGACAACTCCAGGAAATATATTAACCACAGCCAAAGACCCAACTTTGTACTCCCGTTTGAAATGCAGCTCTCCTCAGAAAATGCTTAATACAACAGTGAGAATCTAATGGAGGTTGGAATCTAAAAATCCACTTTCATGATATCTGCTGTTACAGTAATATAGACATACTGTAAATGTATTTTAAAATATATAGCCCGTTTAATTCCTCAGCAATAAATGGCTTAGAAATAGAGAAAGAAGGGGAGAAAGAAAGAATATTACCCCCACACACACTTGAAGCAAACGCTTTATGAAGACCTCATTGGAATCCAGCGAATGATTAATGTGAGGATTTGGGAGGAAATCTGGGGAGCTGTATTAACTCCTAGATCTCAGGTTCATTTCGATCAGCCAGCCGTGAACTCTGGGCCGAATTCATTACACTTTAATAGTGCTGGGAGAGGAAGAAAATGCAATTTCTCATTCCATTAGAAAACTAGAAAATACTCTCAGCTTGTCCCCCTATTAAGATGTGGCAGGTGACAGGGCCATTCTGGGGGACACGGTCAATGGAATTACAGCACATTATTTTTGTTCGTATAAAATATTGAAAGGCAAGCCTGACTGTGCAGAAGTTATTTCACTGATTTGGTTTTTATGTAAATAAAATATTGAAAGTTAATTAATCCGTGCTAGAGACTAATGATTATGCTTATTATATTGCATTTGATCGCATAATTTGCATGATTCTCGCATTGCTGCTTAATAAGCCATTCCAGGTTATAAATAATTCTGAAATTGGTTTCTAATAATGGCATGCTATAAAAGGAATGGTTTTATTACAGTAGCCAGAAAAGGGGAGCAATATCATACACGGAATTGGCCTCCATATGAGTAGAGGTGCTTTAGTAAATACTTCAAAGTGTGATGTATTCCAGATAAAGGCAAAAATAAGCATATTGGGTAATTTTGTCTAAAATAAAAAGCATCTTTGAAAATATACAATTGCAATAAGTTAAATGTTTAGATCATTTTTAATCAATGCAGTGGCCCACATTCTGGAAAGAATGTGTAGCAATCTGTTAACTATAAAGGAAACTATGAAGCACTCATCATATAAGAATGTAAACCAATTACTATTTAATTTGAATTTGGTCAAGGAGCAACGGTACAGTGAATTGTGAAGTAAATACATTTTCCATAAATTATTTTTGCATTACATTACATAATGTTAATCATTTTGAAGTGTTAATTAAGAAGGTTATGTTGATCTGATTACTTTTTAAACTATGAAACATTATTTTTTAAAAATATTGAAATTGCCATTCTATTAAATTGTTTCTATCAGTGGGCTCAAGCTATTATCTTTGGTTGAACATTATGCTAGAACAATTAACACACTTTGTCTCTTTCTTCTTAAATATTCTTTTGTGTACTTTTTGAAAATAACTACCATACAGTGTATTTTTTATTTCATTTATAACTTTTCTATTAAAAGAATCACTGCCATTAACCTTTGGAGACCTAATAAAGTTTAATAGACCTCATTTTCTTTTTTTATAAGATCAGTCGTCCAATTATATTTTATTTGTGATTCCAAGTTCTATTTTAATTTGAACTAATTACCAACATGTCTAGGTTAAGACCAGCACTGCATTCTTTAAAACAAAAATTAATAGCTAAGATTTCTCTTGAGGAAAAAAAGTAAATTTGTGAACTTTTATTCTCTAATATTGATCCCACATTCAAGTATTATCATTGACATGTGTTGAGATTGTACATATCTATAACAGTTTGAACCCACACTTAAAAGGAGTGTAACGTGAAGATTTAAAGAACAGTAATATGCCTGAACAGTGTAATTAGTATGCTTCATATGTGTAATGTGCCCCATCGTTCAGGCTTTGAGTTTACTGACAAATACCCACACTTGTGCTGAATAAAAATATTAATCATTGTGAATATTTGTCTATTAATTAAGTCACTGGTGATACTTGTTTCTTACTAGAGCAAAAGTAGTATTCCCGTTTAGACGATCTACAAAATACCAAATAGAAACAAATTCTGGTTTCCTGGTCAGTCAAATGTAAACGAACTGAAGTTCTTAAAGTTAATTTACAAAATCAGGTACTGGCTTGACAAAAAAATCAT